TTCATTTAGAAACAAACACTCGTTAATAGACAATATAATCGGAAAGCATACGAAGAAAAATATATATATGATCAGCTATATTCCTTAAAGCTACTCAAGCATTTGACAAAGTTTTGCATACTGACCCAATACAAAAACTGAAAATTTATCCCTAGATAATAATTTGTCGACACACTTCAATCATATTTAACGGGAAGAATTGTTACCGTCTAATCCTCGCACGAACGTCGTCCGCGTTCAATTTCCAATGGTTGCCACTGCTATAACCCTACAAAGGCAATTTACCGACTCACGAAGATTTTCAGGTAATGCAAAAGTTCCGACTGTCTGATGAACAGCCCTGGCTTCGGTTTCGCTTCGAGTGGAGAAGGCGTGGTCCGTTTAGTACCAAAAATTCACAGGATTCTATTCTTTTATACCTTTACCCTGTATAAATTGTTGGCATACCTTCACCCTGTGTAAATAAATTGATATTCTTTCACCCTGTATAAATAAATTGACAGACGTTCCCAGACTTTACCCTTAATACAGTCCTAACAATAACCTCAATATTAAAATAAACTAAACACATACGTCATCAAGAAATAAACACCTATAATATAGAAAAATGTACCCTGGTCTATAACATTTACTACTGTCGTAGCTAACACCAACTTGTGTATACAAATTACTATCTTTAGACCAAAAATGTTCACTATGTTGTAGTTATCCCCATAAACATATTAATTAAACACAGTAAAGTCCCCTGGACTCAAAATACAATACTTTACAACTAGGTTGTAGTTGGCGCAAAATAGATATGAATAATATACAATAAATATAGTAAAAATGGTCATGTACGAGTGGTTATGGCATTAATATGTTGTATCTAAAACTAAAGTTGATGTCCCTAGGACAGAAATCAAACCTGTAACTACTGGGGTAGAAATCCCCTACCGTTTAATTAAAAATGTAACCAAAAAAAATGTCAGGGTCATGGGCGTTGGTACCAAAGGCATGAGTGACTTTTAAATGCTATCTGCAAAATGTAAAAGTTAAATACCGATACAAAGTTAACTTGATTTCAGTCGTACACTTTTACTACAACTTAATAATAATTTAAGACCATAAAATCCCTATGTAACATACTCTTGTATTACATATAAAAATCCCCTTCCCAAAAATATTAATGATTAAATGGAAATGTTCATTAAAATTTGATCAGCAAAATGTGCCGTTAATTTAATAATAAAGTAAATAAAACCTCCTTCTTGGAGTCAGTGTCCCCCGTTGGTCACTGCTGTAAGCAACAGTTTGTTCCTGCTACCATTCCAAATCCATGTAAGGTAAAAACACCTGCCTCCTCTGCAGACTGCTATAATTCAGCTAGTTCGAAGTTTCACCCTCTAAGGTGGAACACCAGAAACAAGTTCTAATTGGGACAGTTGGTTTAACTGTGCACTCCAGTAATAAAAACCCTAAAAATATGAAAGATTTTAATACCCAAGCGAGTTTTGGATATCAGTCTCCCTCCCAAAAAAAAGAATTAACTACATTAAATAATTTACCCACCCAGTCAAATATTTAAGGAACAAACCGGCTTCTTACTAACTGATTCCCCTCCTAAAAAAACGAGTAGCAGAATGTACGCAGTTCTTTCTGGGTTTTTTTTTTACTTCAGCTTCGATGACAAAAAAAAGTCTATATAAAAAAGTGTTTTCTGTACAACTATTGAGAAAAACAATACATACCTTACTAATAAGGGTTTTCTTCAAAAATTACAGGTGATCGGCTTGGCTACGACTTAAAAAAAAGTATATATCCCACCATGGGAGTTGGATGAAAAACTGTTAAAAAAAAAAAACAAATCCAGTTTTAAACGCCAGAACAAATAACCATACGACGGTCATCCACAAATGTAGGTTAAAGAAAAATAATCCCCATATACTGAGTTGGGAGTTACAACATCCCTGGATTTTCTAAAACCCAAAAAAACTTATTCAAAAGTCGAAAAGCCGGTTCACTACACAGAAAAACTTTTGCGTGCTTGCTGGGTCAGAATTCACCCACGACAAAAACGGCTTCACCGTCAAGTCCGGAAACTGATAATTCGCTAATCTGCGCAAGTACGTCATCATCGAACATCCGGAATAACATGCCTACCTCAACAAGAGTCCAGAAAAGATAAAAGAAGTAACTGAATAACACAAATGTCAACGTCCTTTGACAATGACATTAAACATTGACAGAAAATGCCGAATGTCAGTGTTTGATAAACGTCAAAATAATAGCCGAGAATATAATAACATTATCTTTTTTAACAAGGAAAATACTTAATACTTTGAATATAATATCCCAGAACACTACAATAAACGAGGCAAATAAATTAGCGAAGCGATTTGGTCCGTCAACTCAACGACAAGGTAAATAAATGTATGACAAATGTCATTAACAATAAAAAATAGTTTTACAAGATTATACATTATATTATTACATTTTAGGACTAGTCCAGAGATTCTAAGACCTCGATGAGCATATAGTTCTCACCAAACTGAAACTATAAAGCGTTGGCGACGCCTTACAGATGAAAAAAAGAAAACAAAAACAGGCACGTCGACCCAACTATTGACGAGATTGGATCTAATTAACACAAGAGCCTCGGGTCACTCTGGATGTATTCGCATGGCCTCTATTTCCATGACTATCAAAAACTGAATAGTTTATAACCTTCTGTCGAACTGGAATCATTTACATTGTAGAAAAAACTAACTAAAAAGAAAATAATATTGAAACTCTACCCGCTGATGGGTACTGAGGTGTACATTGACAGCAAAAAAATGGGGTATTTAAATGTATCAAGCCAGCTCACAGGCAACCTCCTCAAACATCAAGAAACCTAGGTTAAAACCTGGTAAGTTTCACATCTGGACTAAGTAATAGGTCACTAAGTAATAGGACACTACCACATAGCCATAACAATATAGCAAGTTTTATACATAAACACACTCAGAAACGCTCAAGTCACCACCATAGGCCCCGAAGAAACCTACAGACAGCCGTAAGCTGAAAACTGAAAATCCACCTAAGCACTATAGGGAAGAAAAACAGTTTCAAATGACCAACATTCACCCTCAGTCACTCTCACAAGGTATGTACTACCATAAATATATATTTAACTACATTAAGACACAGAAAGATACCGCCAAAATATTCTAAATACGTCAATAATGTAATTCTTTGCCTACAAAAGTTGCCAACAATAATCAGAAACCTATCAACAGCTGTACGTTTAAAAATTGGGAACTATTGATTTAAATTTGCAGAATAACACTCACCAATATAGGGTATGTAGGTCATATTTCAGATACAAACATAATGAAGGTCACTAAAAACAAAACTAGCATATACGAGGGGTGTCGAATAAACAAAACTAGTTGCTAACAACATTAGGGCGAAATCAGATCGTAACAGAATGTTTAGAGTGAAGCCCACAGGGCAGTTTGCCAGGACCGCTTTTTGACAGTGATATTTCTCAACAACAGTTTTTTAACCTTACAAAATTTGCAACATTGTAATTTCGATTAAACGTCTCTCCAAAATTAAAACAATCCGTTCCATTTGATTCTTCGAGCCGGATACGAAAAAGCGAAATATACGTCTGGGATGAAGCAAAACAAAATGATATGGGCCAGAAATCCTGGTCAAAGATTATACTGACTCGATTATCAAATAAGTTAACCATTTTTCCTTGTCTCTTAAGTTGGTAAATGCTCATAAAATAATAGCTCAGGTTTGGAAGACGGTAGCACATGGGAAGTCAATATTTAAAGCGTTAAACGTCTTATCTTAAAAGATAAGTTGATAAGAAATGGAAATCCTTTTAATTCAAGTAGAATTAGTAGTAATTCCAGATCATTCGTTTTATCAACTGGCTCAAACGATCACAGAGCTCTAACACCTGTAAACGGCTTTCTGTATATCAACACATACAAAAGTTGCAGCAGTGTTTCTGGGAAAGCTGTACCTACGAATATATTAGCGAACTATACATGCATTATAGTCCAGGATCCGTAAGTAAGGTCGACCTTCACCCATCTGTTTAATGGATGAAAGTTGTTTTTTATTAAATAAAATATGCTTTTAATTATACCGCAAAAGGGTTGCCTAAGAAAATACGGTCACGGCCATTTTTTGCTTTTCTTTCTGTGTACAGATAAGGAAAGTATGCGAATCATGATAAAAGTTGCTTGTGATGTCATTCTCTATTATTTTGTCTCTATACATGATTTCTCTAAAATGGACCTAATTTGAGATATTTAAGAAAAAGTGCAAATTTCGAATTTTGAAGACAACTCAAAAACGGATAAAGAGAAAAAAACCAAATTTTAAACTTAAGCTTTAATCCATCCTGCGGTGAGCTGATTAGAAGCATAGTAGAAGCATCTGGGGAATAGTTTACAGGGTGTCGTTTTTTTTACTTTGAAAAAATAAATAGTCTGGACCGTATTTTCCTAGACAACCCATTTGCGGTATATTTATAAACATATTTTATTTAATAAAAATAAACTTTCATCCATTAAATAGATGGGTGAACGTCGACCTTACTTCGGATCTTAGACTATTACTTAAACAACAAAAGACAGTGGTGATCAAAAACAATGAACCCACAGTCAAGTATAGACTTCTTCCTGATCTATAGAAAATGGCAATTGACAATTGTAAGCCGGTCCTTTCAAGGTGGGAGGCATGCTTTGATTTACACTTTATATAATTTTGTGTTTACGTTTCATTGTAATATTATGTGACATGTGACAATTGAAGGATACAGGGCAAAAACCAAAAGTGATAATATTCCTCTGGAAATTCTTTATTTCGCTATTATAGGCATTTTTACATAATAAAGAACAACATAAAAAACAATATAAAGTACGAAACATTCCGTAAACTAAAAACTGAAATAATCTGATTTCTAAAAATTACTGATCATCAGGGACATCATCTGATTCTGGTTCTGGTACAGGCTAGTTAGCAGAAATAAGTTGGCTGTAGTACCCTTTAGGTCCCTCTTCTTTACAAAATTTCATTAGAACTTTTAGATCAGCACACTTTTCTTTGGGCAGAGGTATAGGGCTATGATAGAGCTGGTTGGGTTCTTGAAGATCTGGTACGTTTGATTTTCTCTTCTGGTTCTTCCGATGATCTTTTATCAATGATGACATGTAACTTCCATTATATTTTTTGCTATGGTCAATGGTTTTGCGTTTTGTTTGAATGAACATTAACTGTTTTAGTTGCCTAATAGGAAAAGAGAACTTTTTCTAGTACAACTTGGAGGATAAAAAATTACCCCATCTTTTAAACGTAACTTGTTCACATGATTCCACAACAAACGGATACGGCTTGGTTCGGGCGGCTTCTATAACCTCTTTCCAGCCATTTGTAGTTTCAGCCTTAGGACTTTTGAGGATCAACCCCATGATTTTGTCGGGCTCCATGAAGGAATGGCCGCGCACTGGGTAAGTGATTGTCACAGTGTCAAATCTTTTTAGATTAGCAGTTACGTAGTAAAGGAACTGGATGATGGTGTGGTTTTTGTTTTGTCCCCCGCACGAATCGGCAAAGACTTAAAGTTTCTTAACAGCCGGATCCAGGTAGGTGTTGAAAAAATGATAGAGCATTGAGGCAACATCATCTGACCCTTTCTTTGCGACGGTTTGGTCGTAGGTGTACATTACTGAAGTACCAGTTGACAAAATATGCACATTAAAAATATAAAATGACAGCTGTCTTCTGAAGTACACCTCAGCAGAAGTTATATTCGGAGTAGGGAGATTTTTCCGAAATCTATAGCGATAGCCTTTATTTTCTAGCTTCGGTTTTTGCACGCCTTTCTAATTCATAGAAATAATCAGCTCTCTTTAAATGAAGTGTCTTCTCAGTTTCTAGCTTCCTACCTTCCTCGTATAACTTTACCTTTTTGTCATCACTTTTTTCAGCGGCAATTTTCCTATCCAGCTCAGTAATTTTGACTTTCTGCTCATCGCACCAACAGCACGTTTCGGTTCGTGGATAACCGAATGCGATGTTGAACTCTGACACAAAGATTTACCTGAATGGTTCATAACACATTTTAATATGGGACTGTTTAGTCAAAAATAATACAAGAAGCTTTTAACATTCATATCTTCCGGTAGGTATACTCTGTTAGTGTCCTTTAAGCTGAAGTGCGCTTTACGTCCCTTTAAGGAGCCAAAAAACTTCAATAACAACTCACGGGTTTGTTGAGACATCTTATGAGGTCTATTGGTATGTTTTTCCCTTCCATCCATCGGCAACTCGACAGTTGTTCTTTGAGATGGTTTGATTGTATGTAATATAGAGTCTTTAATTCCAAAAAGTGATTGAAATGCTTTAAAACATACTGGCACCTCTTCTGCTCTGCCATTCCTAATAACTCTTACTTTGTAGCCGTAGGAGCTTTCATTCAATCTAGCATCTTCTTCATTTTGCCTTGGCCTTCATCGAAAAACAGGTCGTAATGAGATAATGCCAGATAAGTAACTATTTTGGGCGTCATGATTATTTTCATGTCCAATATTATTAAATTGTCTTATTAACTCACTTTGTTCGGCGACAGAAATATTCTCAAAGCATCTATACCGCTTGCATTGGCAACTTTTTCCGGTTTCAAACGTCGAGGCCCTTAGCTTCTAGCAACATTTTTAAGGCGGCCACTTATATTTTCGTCATTGTCCGACATTTTAAACAATCTTACTTGCTGAAGGCTGAAGCGTAGCCGACTAGATAATGCAGAATTTTGGCTTCACGATGGTGGGAGAAACTACACATTTTAATATTTTATGGACTGTGTTGGTTATTCTTATGTTTCAGGTGGACTATGTTGGTTTTTCCCCTGCTGTATATATTTATAACATTGAATATCTCTTGACTTCGTTTGTTGTTCCCCTCGATTATTTTCCATAATAAAATACACGGAGGAAAGAATGTATTGAAATGCTTATCTCATTTTTCTCATTTTTGGACTTCGTTGGTTTTTGTCCTGTACTCTTCAATTGTAATTTTTCAAAATCCAAACTATCGATCCGTTCCAGTCTGTGATATATCGAAGTCTTAGTAAGTTACTTATAATTTGCGATTGAAAAGTATTATAAATAATACAAGTAACAACAACGATTTTTATTTCTTAATAAATAAACTGAAAAGAAAGACATTTATGTATCTACCGCAATGAACAGGAGGAAATTTTATCGGATAATATCATTGGTATCTTTCGTTCGGTCACTTATTGTCTGGCGCGAAATCCATTTATAAATCCATTATTGTTGATAATAGCCTTTAATTTCGCCGCGGAACTGCAGCTACGTGTGATGACTGTGTGAAATTAAAAGCAGTAACTTTTCTAGAGGAATTTCAAAGTAAATTTCTAGGATGAGCGATATTAAATTGAATGGAAAGATACGTTTATTTCAATGTGCACACGCCGTCCGTACATCTGATGCCAGTCGAATTTCAAATTGTTTTCGAGAAGGAGAATTTTATTGTAAGGATAGAGATAAGCCGTTCGCTATCTGAAACGTTTCGTTACAAAAGAATGTTATTCGTTTGAACTGTAAATAAGGTAACTATTTTTAACAAGTTTCTATAAATTTTAAAACAAAAATATTCTTTGTTGTCTCAAATAAACTGGTAACAAAATCAAAATTGTTAATGATTTAATAAACTAGCATAATAATACAATAAAAGAAGCGAACGTCGAAAAAAAGTGTTGACACATAGATGCCATACCATAAGATGCCATGCATTACTGGAAGGATCATGGTCATCTATACAGATAGCAGACAAGCACTATACTTACCCTGAACAGACCACGAATTTACTTAGGGTTAGAACTAGAATGTCACGAAGCTTTGGCCGAAGTATCCATCAACAGTGTGGTCACCTTAAGATAATTAAAAGGTCACGCTATATCGAAAGGTAAGCCTCTTGCTGATTCACTAGCCAAGAAAGCAGCAAACCAAATACTTTTTAGACCTGGTACTTCTATGGATCTGACAAAATCAGTAGTGACCTAATTAAAGAACATTCCCTTGTGAAACTCAAGAAAAGATGACATGAAATAAGAAACTGCAGAGTTGCCAGGGAGCTCTTATGTTATCTTGACAACACCGCAGCAAACAAATACTTGACTGTGACTAGACAGAATCTGCGCCTAGTCACGGGCATTCTCACTGGTCATTGCCGAGTACGGAAGCATGTCCATATAATGGGGGTGACAGAATCCGTATTAGAATATTGGTGTTCGGCAGTATCGGCTAACACCGGCCGATATAAGAAAAGCACCTCTTGGCAACGTTATCAACTACATTAAATCTGTAGGCTGGCTCACGAGCTAGGAGGTGCCTATCATCTTAGGGGGATGCATAATGGGCCTAGTAAGGTCTAAGTGCCGTGAAGGTAACCCACCCTCCAAACGTTACAGATACAGAGATGCATTACAAATTTGAAGATATAAAAACACTAAAGAAAATGATGGATTTAATAAAGACTGTAAAAAAGCTTTAAGTAAAAGAACTATAGTCAGGTTGAAAATATTAAAAGAATCAAATCAAATGAAAAAATACAAAAACTAAGGCAATTGGTAAAAAAACATTTCTATGCAGCTTTAAGAAAGAACATATATGAAATGTGATTTAAAACAAATAGAGGAGCATTATGTAAGCAAAAATATAGAAAACTTTTACCAACAAGCAAAAACACATATAAAAGCGTACAATAATACTACAGAAGTAAAGAAAGACCTATAACAGGGAAGTTGGAAAGATAGGAAGATTAATTTAAAAATTAAATAAGTATATCAAATAATGAAGAAAAAATGGATGTCTGAGGACTACGAATGTGACCCAAAACAAGCAACTGCAAGTCAAGAGGACAAAGAAAAAAGTCGACAAGACAAGAAGTAATATATTATTAAATAAATGAAAAATACCAAAAGTGCAAGTGAAAATGGAGGTAAAATATTGAAAGCAAAAATTTCAAGAATAATAAAATACGTTTTGGAGGAAGACACAATGCTACAATCATGGTGGAATGCAAATGTATGCCCCTTTACATAAAAAAAGAGATGGAACTTTATAGGACTATTAACGAGAAATAGCCCTAAAAGACGTAGTTAATAAGAATTGACTTACATATAGTCAAGAGGTTAGAGTACCAAGAAACCTTTAGAGGAAAAACAAGTATTAGAAATTAAAAATTAAAAAAAAACCGACTTCAAAAACGTGCAGATGCCATATGGGACCACCCCTGAGGTACCCCCTTACTAACAAAAAAAGAATCATATAAATCGGACAAGGTGGTAAAGCATTATCGCTAAACATACATAAAAAATGAAGAGTTTGAGGATTTTCTCATGGACCCAATTATTAGATTTTCACCAAATTTATATGGGACCACCCCTGAAGTACCCTCTTTCTAACAAAAAAATAAATTATTAAAATCGGACACCGTGTTAAAGAATTATCGCTGAACATACATAAAAAAAAATATCGCGACGAATTGATAACCTCCTCCTTTTTTGAAGTCTGTTAAAAAGCGCAAGTAACCAGATAAATATTATAAAAATTATTCATTTGAGAAAAAACTAAGTTTAAGTTGCTATTTGTTAAAATTAAACAGCATTATGATAGTATTACTGGAAGAAATTTATACCAAGCACTGCAATAACTAAAAATACCAAACAAAAATATTCAAAATGGTCCAGATGACACTAAACGAAACGCGCAATAGGGTCAAGCCTTTCAAATCGATTCAGTTAAAAACATTGTCGTTTTTGAAAAATTTTAATAAGGAGATAGAGCTGGGTAACTTTAATCCCGTATTTATGAATAAGACGTGGGTATATAGTAAAGGAAGTGACAGGAAAAAGTTGGCAAGAAGTAACGATGGTTACTGCAAGTAAAAAAACAGGAAATATAAATCTACACATAATTGTCCATGGTAGTATTGAAGAAGGGTTTATAAAAAATGCAGACCTCATATTTTAAAAGTCAAACAAAAAGCAGGATTACCATAATAATGTGAACATGGAAATTTTTTAAAACCGGTTTATGCCAAAATTCATACCTATTATGGAACATCCTTTTTTGATTATAATCGATAATGCTAGTTATCTCTCGCGATAAGTAAAATCAATTACATGTTATAGTTGAACAAAAGATAAAATGGTAAAATGGTTACAGGAAAAGAACATTAATTATCCAATCAATGCGGTATAGAATATGGACATAAAATATTAAGAACTCTTCTATATCACTGCCACTGTCACAGTGTAAACGGTTTTATGACAAAAATATTTTAACAACAAAGTCGTCACCGGAAGATGTATTTCAGACTTGGTCAGAAGCTTTGAATAATGTTACCGATACTCAGTGGGACAATTATGTAGGACCCACTAAATGCATAACTGTTTCCGATAGGAAAAATACAACCAATTAGATGTTTCTCATCTAATTTAGGTACAACGGCAAGTAGTGATGAATCTGAATCAGTGTCCAATTGTGAAGAAAATTATATTGATTAAAAAGAGTTATCCATTAAATATTTTCTGTGCCTCTCGTTATCATATATTTTTAGAACAAAGAATCTGTTTCACAAATTTGCACCTATTTTGGAATACTTTAAAAACTCCAAAAATGCTAAAAACCAATGTTCAGCTGGAAAATTTATTTATAAAGTACAAAAGTAAATTATTCTAGTATTTATAAACAAAAGGTAAAACCTAATCTTATTTTTTCTAAAAGACTTTTATGTATTTGTGTAAACGCACCTTAAAAAAGTAACAACAAAGCGCAATTGAAATAGGAAGACTGTAACTAAAAATGCAATACTCTTTTGTACCAATATGTGGCTTACGCTAACAATCTGGACCTATTAACAATGCCGACAGGAGAACTGGAGAAAAATTTTATAAGCAAGGGAATATGGTTTAATAGTGAATAAATAGAAGATAAAATATCTAGTAATGAAGGAACCTAATTATCAGCAAAATGGAGCGACATCATATGTGAAATTCATAGGAACAAGCAATAAAAAATACTGTTTTGAAAAGGTTAAATATTTATATATCTGTGATTGACTTAAAAAACTTGACGAAAAAAATATTACCAATTAAACAAAATAATTAAAGGATATAGATCAGCTGGGGTGCTTCAATGAATGCTATGATAAAAGACAATATTAAGTTCGGCAAAACCTACTGTCATATTTGTACCAGAAACCTGGATAATAAATAAATAAGTTAGCTAAATGAAAGAGGAAAATTTTAGGAAGAATTTATAGTAAGGTTAAAAAAATGGTGGTCTAAGAAGTTGAACAAATGCGGAGTTAACAGCATTGTACAGTCAATTGTCAATAATTCAGTGAATTAAGAAGCAAATATTACGATAGACAGGACATATATTAAAACCAAAAGACAATTATGGAATAGGAGATAAAAGAGGAAGAGGCAGGATAGAAAAAATAAAATGATGTAATCAGACAAGAGCTAGAAACATTAGGATTTAAAAACTGGAGAGAAGTAGCTCAAGACAAAAAGAAATGTAAACTAGTAATAAAAAGATTTATTAGTCATGGAAAATGAGAAATAAAGATGAGACGCTTAATTATATTTGAACGTGGGAGAAATAAGGAGAGACTTCCGTCAATCGGTTGCCTGCCTGCCCCTGATTAGACAGATGTACACATCTTTACCACAGTGGATCGGCGCGTATTAATTTACCTCTGTCTAATCAATGGAATCGCTTTTTCTTCTGGCACAATTGTAGAATTCT